AAGTCGCCAAGAAATCTAGGATTAAGGTCGATTTTGACCTTAATCCTGTCAGGGATTGAGGATAGGGATTGAGGATAGAGAGTATAGAGACGCGTAGTTAGCACTTTATATAGGTGGAAATATTATACCCCTAAGATATAATAATATCTATACGTACTTAAGAGAGTATATAGGCGTGTATATAGCTCTATATATTGATAGTGATGTTATATTTCTAAAAATAGCCTACACTCATAAATCTCTTTTAAGTAATTACGAGTAATAATAGCTTTTACTTTTAAGGTTATACTAAGGTCCTTCAAGGTAAGATTTCCTTCGTACGGGGGAGTTTTTAGGCACTTTCAATGGCGAAGCCTCGAATCTAATATATAGAGGTAATTCTAGGCTATAATATAGTAGTTTTAGTAGGGTCTTAGTAAAAGTGTTTCACGAACACGTGTGCCTCACGAACCCGTGAGGTACGTTATCTATTTTGAATATTGTTTAGACGGTATTTGCTACTACGAAGTGGCGGGTGGATAGGCAGGGGTAAAACGCTCTATCCAACTATAATCTCGTTTGGCATATTATGTAGAACTCTAAGACTTTAAGTCAGTACCTCACTCTAGTAGGGCCTACATAGATGCTACATTAGGAAAAGTTACAAGGAGTAGCGAGATGAATTTACAGGGGTAAAACGCGCTATCCGACTATTGTTCTCAAGAGACCATAATTCCGTTTGGCATAACGTGTAGAATTCAAGAATAGTGTTCTAGTGGTAGTGTTCAAGCAACTCGTTGGTGTGCAGTGCACAGAAGGAGCAGATGAAGACCAAGAGGAGTGCGAAATTCATGGTGATGAACGGCATAAGCATCAAGTGTTCAACAGTTAAAGAATAAGGTTTGCACAAGATTGAATTGAAAATACCTGAGGATTAGGTATTCGTGAGTGCATGAGTATACGCCTGTTCTGCTCTGCTCATCCTTCCTTATACTACCGCCCCGCACTCGTGACTCCACCATTCAGAACCCACCAAGTCACAGTTAGTTATTCATACTTGGCAATTCCTTATTAGTTCTCACTCTGTGCTACGGCACAATAGTAGACTACATCTAATTGGGGCAACCGCGTCCCCATCCAGTCTTAATGTCGCAGCAGTCGGCGTCCTTGAAAGCATCTGTTAGTATAGAATTCGAAGTTTAGGAGTGTGAACCATGCTTACGCATTGTTTACGAGTGACGTTGACTTCTTCGCACAAAGTCCAAAGACTAGGGTCGTGTCTAGACTCATCGCAGACTCCAGTAATGTCCAATCCAAACTGACGCCTGCAAGCTGCTCCAGAAGAGTAACAACAGTTGTCACGTTGATGGCACCAACCGCTGCCAACACCAGCAGAGACAGTGCCTGTAAGAAGGAAAGCTGAGAAAGCAGCAACAGTAAAGCTGGTGAAATGCATTTTCGAAGTTGTAGAACGAGAGTAAGTGATTTGACTGAAGCCAAAAAAAATTGAGATGGAACGTAGAGATGATTGTGATGCGATGAAGCGAGTGTTGATGTGATGGGTAACGGTTGCAGTTGGCTGATTGCTTTGGTTTATATGCTTAGAGTTGGTTCAACGTGCAATACAAGTTAGTAGAAGTCACTGACATGGAACATTCGTGTGAATAGATAGGCCCGAATGCTACAGATTAGACCAATCACTAAAGTAAATTAGCTAGGCCTAGATCCTAGTACTTGAAGTGTTTGACTATAAAACACAAGACTACGTTTCGCTGTAGAAAAGTGGTGTGGAGACTTCTCTAACGAAACGAGTCTGTGCACATTATTAAAGTTTGGCACTAATATGCAAATAACATGAAACTATTGAAACTAACGCCTGCTAACTAGTGTTAAAACATAAACACTACGTATCTAGCGCCAAGTTGCTATGTCAAACCTGCCAACGCAATTAGGACTAGTTGCAGCCTGTCCATCGTTTCTAGAACCTTCTAACGCACTTAATAGGTACGTTTAAAATCCCCTCTTTCTATGCAGTAGTAGTCACAGCCTGTGTCGCACTGCTTGGCAGCGTTAAGGTTTATACTCTCGAACAAAGCATCGGTTTTTAGAAACAAGCAACAAGCATGATCCGTTGACTTTGAAATTTGGCGTAATCTGGGTTATTGAACTCAGTTTTGCTAAGCCCTGGTAGTGCATTAGTTGCGTGCAAGAAGAATAAGTCGAGAACTAGGTAATAGGGTATTTAAATGTTAGGTTGCTGTCCAGCAGAAAATCATCAACTACATTCTCTTTATTTGATATTATCAACTACTACAGTCTTCTCCAAATCACACACTCTTTAACCCATACTCCTCCCAAGCCAAGATGCAGTTCTCCATCTTCACTACTGGCTTCCTTGTTGCCATTATGACCGGCACTGCGTTGGCAGCCCCCCCCGAACTGGACGCTAGGGGAAAGGGTGTAAGTAGTAAAACATGTGAGAAATATTTGCAGCTAAGAGAATTGTAGAGCGGTAATTGCTATGACGGCGTTGATTGCTGCTACAGCAGTAGAGCTGCGTGTGAACGACAGCAAATCGCGGGCATCCACACTTGGATCAATTGCAATGTCAAGGGTGCAGTAACCTATTGCTCTGACGTAGGAATCACATTGGCTCAATGCGTAAGTGAAAATCACCGTCTACTTATAAGACAATACTAACTTGGACAAAGGATGCCGATTGCTGTGCTATTTCCACTACCTGGGGTCGCGGCTGCCCTGCCTAACTTCCCAACTAAGAGCTCTTGCTACATTAGATAGGCATCGTCTGTTGTATATGATCCTTCTGACAACATATTCCTGTACATAGACTACGACGCTCTAAGTCTTGGTTTAGTGTAGCTTGGCTATCAATTCAACTAGTTGCTCTATCGATAGCAGCATTTCTTGCTGTACTCATTCACTTGCTACGGTTGGATATCATGAGCATCTCCTTCAGACTTTTACACGGAATTTACAGCCTCAAAGCAGTTGCGATCCTGGCCAAGGCGCAATCTTGTCCGTCAGCAATAGTAACTGTCGTCTATCGAGAGCGTTTTCTGCTGAGAGTCGAAGCTGTTGTTGCGCTGCTACGTGATGATTTTCACCCAAGACTTTCACAGTACTGCGAACTACGACGACAATAGCCTTTCCCTCTGCAACGCCCAGTTCATATTCCAAAAATCTTACGGTAATTCCCCTAAGACCGGCCTCTATCTTGGTGCTCAGTTGGAAGACCAGCCATGCTACCGCTCACTCCCAGCATCATCGACATAATCAACGCCTAGTAGACTCATTACCTCGATCGTCTACCAATCATGACCTTGCTGATTTTGATTGTGTTAGCTGAGCAGTCTCACGCTGCTATCTCGCCTGACGCTTCCAGCTCTAAAGCCTCAACTGCTGAGGTAGGCATCGGCCCTCTGGCTCTCATGACTTTTATAGGCTTCCTTTCTGCTGCCTGCCTCATACAAGAGCGAAAAGAACTACTCAGAGTACACAGCCTGACGACAAGTTGAGCCTCTCTATTGACCGACTCGACCTACGGATGGGCTTCAACTCTACACTGAGTTTTGCCACAGCCCAAACAATACCCTCCCTGTTGTAGTCCAAAACAAATATTTAGTGCTACGCGATCGCAGCGTTGTGGTGTTGCGTGATGACGTCACTTGTTCTCAGGTGCACAAACATTGGTGGGGTGTGCATCATGCGCAGCGTGTATCACGAGGCTGTTGTAGCGTAAAAACACGACCAGAGGATCTTAAAGCGCGCATTACGCCGGACAGCACATTCCAGGGTTGCGTTGTATCAAACCGGCTACTTTAGCGGTTTCTAGATGCCCCAAGTCTCGAGTTTGCTACGGAGCCATCTTCGATCTTAAGCTAAAAAACCAACTAGTAATCTCAAGAGGTACGAAAACAGATATTTTAAGCTCTATTTACTCTCTTAAGATAGGACACGGATACTTCAACGCCTATTTAAAGAGATTTAAGAGAAGAGAACGCGAGCTCTGCAGATGCGGGAGGCTACAAACAGCAGAGCATCTACTTCTATACTGCGGCTTCTACAGCGCAGAAAGAAACCAGCTTAAAAAGACTCTTAACTAAAAAGTACACAAACTCCTACTCTTACTCTATACCACGAGCGGTATAAAAGCCACCTTGGCTTTTATTACTAGCGCGCGGATAGGAACAAGAAAATGGCATCTTGGCTATGAAGGCTAGAAAGAAAAACAAGAGAAAAGAACGATAAAAGATGAACAATGTTTGAATTTTTAGTACTATTTCCTTTCCCCTAAGAGAGCTTGCTGGAAGGCAACCTAGCTGCCCTACATCTCTCCCTGTTACCAAACTGCTCTTTAGCACCAGGCGTTTAGAAATCTAGTACCAGCTTAACTAGACAAAGGCCGAATCACTATAGTCACGCAATACAGCACAACGTACTAAATTATAACTAGTTAGATAGAACGGCCTTTAGCCAAAGTCCTATATAGCTAAAGGCTGATGCAGGACTATAATGGAATAATAATAATAATAATAATGATAAGTCTCGAGTTTGTAGCTAATGGTCTATTCGCAATTCTGTCTCGAACTGCGCTGATGGCCTAACAGATTAGGGTGGGCTGAGTGACAACATGCTTCCTTCTGCGAGCTGCTTCGGCCGTAGCTCCTGTGGAACACGAAGATTAAGCCCTAGGTGGTGATTATCTTGCACTTCTATCTCGAAAAAGGTGCTTCTCTACGCTAACATACCTAAGTTAATTTAAATAATTATTACGCTCGCACCTCGGTTAGATGTAGTACTTTCTAGTGTAAGTACAAGACATTGCGTAATGAAACAGAACAGGCTCAAGTTACGGTAAGCAGATACAAGCGCATGCGCTTAGTGCAGCGCTTTGGCTGTTTCTAGTCCATTGCTGTTGAGGGGTTAGTGGCTTGTTGAGTTTCAAGCTCAGACCAGTTTTATTATGCAGTGAGATTTAAGCAATATAACGAAACAACACTTACGTTAGTACTCTTGGCGGTACTAGATACCAAGATTGGGGAACTGAAAGTGAAGAAACCAAGAGTGGTATAAAGACCTAATAGCCGCCAGCTTGGAGAGACAGCACACAGATTCATTCGTTTTATACTACATCCGGAACAACTACCCATTCTTTTGAAATTTTTCAAACAACCGTCATCATGGTCCGCATCATCTCTATCGTTGGATTCCTCCTCACCGTCGTTGCTGGTGTGCAAGCCCAGGGGGGTTCGCCCTGCCAGTGCTTGTTCTCCGATGGTTCGCACTGCTGCGTCACCTATGTTAGTCCCTCAACCCCTCTTCTATAGACACATATAGCTGACTTGAGTCTTTCTCTTTCCAGACTAGGGCCGGACTCAGCCAAGATTGCGCAGACAACTGCAGGACTGCCACACGCGACAGTGACAACAAAGCCTGTGCCGCTAACGGCAACAATTCCAATGTCAGCTCCTGGAATGCCCAATTCCGCGCCTCCTGCCGTAGCAGGGGAAGCATTGATTGAGTTGCCTTACTCTATCGTACCAAGTGGCAAATCAATTGGAGGTGGACGTTGTTAAGCGAGGTGATGAAGAAGGCGGGCTGAGCGTCGTTGTAGATAGGGGCGTGTTCGTTTGTGTAGATTACTAGAAAACACGAGGAATGTATTCGTATCTTCCTTAAAGCTTTTTCATGTCCTGCTAGGCCTTGGCGTACTAAGACTAGCTGCCGATGCGAATTTTAACAGACGATGGATAAAAGACAATGCTGTGAAGCATTAGAAACCATTGTATATGATCTCTGCTTGCTTACGTCTGGCCGCTTCCCCGAACTGTCCATGTCCGTAGTGGATATTAATATCACAACGCGCTTATAAACAAGCACGACTGCTTGATTGCACCCCCGTTATGTGATCAGTGAGGTTATTCAGCACGAAGCCTCCCCGAGAACTCTGCCCCGCAGACTTAATTGGAAGAAAATAGCACTAGTTAGTCCAAGTACCCTGATAAACAGAGGGAAGGATTGATTTAGGTCGACCTGCGTTAGGTATTATAACGACATGACGAATATGCCTTATATCATAAGTAGTTGTAGTGAATGTAGCCAAGTGCGTTGAGGAAGGGAGTATCTGTAAATTACAATAGAGTACAGGAGGAGGTGGAGGGGGCTTCGTCTTAAGCTACTGAGGCCCCATTAGCCTCAACACGAATTCATACACTCCGAGAGTGATGACTACTGATGGTATGGATCGAGCCATATGAGGTATGAGGCCACTATAAAGTCCTGCTAAGCCTTTCGATTGGCCAACGGAACGAAAGCATTACCAAAGTCCAGTGTATCGTGGCGAGTGGATCCTAACCGGAGCTTGACGTAACCGAGTCCTGATCACCTGCGCATAGTCAGCAAAAATAACGACAGAATGCAGTGGGGAAAATACTTCGTGGGGGTATGTCAATAGAACCGTCGCGCACTTAGCAGATCCCGATGCTCTACTGGTACTAATCTAATGGGAGAGCTCTTCGTTTATTCCGCCCTTGTCGTTCAACGACTTGCGATACACGGCTTTCAATTTTTCATAGACGACTAAGTGAAGAGCTGTCTCGACAGTACCCAAATAGCTTGCGCTTAGGCCTCTGTATAACCCCTTGATCCCTTCTTGTGCCACCACTTTTCGAACGCAGTCAATTATGTTTCGATACTACTGAGTGTTCTTGTTAAGCTGAAGCCGTGTTTTGATAAGCCATATGGGGTTTGTAGCAGTGGGTTGGCGCAGCCTACTTGCTAGGGCAGACCGCATTTCAGCCGCTCTACGGTCGACTGTCTAACATAACGGGACACAAGTCTATTCTTCTTATCTTAGTTATATATACTATAGCTAGTAGACTACTATATAGTTTTATCTATAACTTATCTTAGTTTTATACTACTTACGCTCTAAGTAGTATTAGTAGTAGAGGTATTAGTTCTCTTATCGCTATTATTATAAGCAACGTTATTAGTTTAAAGAAATATAGAAAGTACTAAGGTAAAATTAGTCTAGCTATAGAGGTTAGCGCTATAGCTAGACTATTTATAGCTACTAGTCTTATATATCACCCTAATAGTTAGAGATAAGTTTTTTAGGTTCTAGCTATTTCAGTAGCTTTTTATCTAGTCTAATTACTACTTTTTTTACCTCTTAAGCTAGTAATAGATAGATAATAAGATAAAGTTAAGAGATTTAACTACCTTAGAATTATAATATCTATCTTAGGTATTAATCTTCTTCTTATAAGTAAATTTATATAGCTTTTTACTTAATTATTTTTATAATACTAATCTAGATTATTTATAAACTAATAGATATCTATTAATTTAGATAGTAGTATTCAGCTATAGTAGAGTATATATATAATACTGTTATAAGTAATAGTAGAAAGGATCCTCTCCCTAGGTCTAATAAAGAGTAGTTAGGAAGCTACTTAGGATTCTAACGAATAGAATAACTATTATAGGGCTTAAAAGTTATATAATATACTATCTTACTAAAACTAAATATTCAACTAAGAATAGAATAGTAAAGAGTTTTTAGATAGTATACTATTCTAGATATCCCGCTAATATATAGAAAGATAGAGTAGATAGAATAGTAGAACTAAAGATAATAAGAATATAAAGATAGATAGATTTTATTAGTACTCTTATTATAGTTAACTTAAACTATACTTTTTTATTAGTTACTTTACTTAATAAGAGTATTATATATAAGTCTATTAAATAGATAAGTAGTTATTAAACTTTTATTACCTTCTATATAAGTACGCGACTCTACTATATCGCTAGATAACTATTATAGAGCTCTTTATACTATCTTACTCGCTCTAACCTAGATTAAGCTTAGAGAAGTATTAGCACCTAACCCCGTGTAAAAAATACCTATAGTTTTTATTAGTAGCTTTTATTTTTTTATCTTTACTCTCTATAAGAGATAGTAAGTAAAGCTACTTTTTATACTATGGTAGCTCTACTCGTAGTAGTCTCTAGTAATTCTTCTAGTATAGATTACTATCTATAGACTATCTAAGGTTGTATACCTCTATATAGCGTAACTCTTATTCTATTTTTCTTTTTACTTAAAGCCTTACTAGCGTATTATTTAGCTCTATTATATCTAAAATAACTTAGTACGTAAATATTCTATCTCTATTTTAAAAATAAAAGATAACTATTCTTATTATATAGTTATTTACTATAGATATAGACTAGTTCTCTATATTAGGTACTTACTCTAGTCGCTTAGATCTAGTCTAAAGTTTATCTTCTTATATATAACTCTTTTACCTACGTAGGCTGGTAAACGGGTCTCCACATCGGAATCTCTTTTTCTTATATTTCTCTATTAGTTCTTACCCAATTAGGAAGTTTAGTAGCTCATTTTGTAGCTCTAGACTAGGGCTTCATTTTTACCTAATATAGTAGTGGGCTAACTCTAATAGATAGTAAAATATCTAAGATCGGAGTAAAAT